CAGAACATGAAGAAAGCTTTTAATAAGGCCGCCAAGAAGTGCAAAAGCATGTTACGTAGGGCCAAGTTCGACCATGTGCGCCGCATAGGAGCCAAGCTTGCCTCTTATCCAGCAGGCAGCAAATCCTTTTGGTCCCTGGCCAAAGCGGTCGAATCGAACTTTTGTCGCCCATCTTTGCCACCTCTGCTGAGGCCGGATGGTTCGCTGGCTCATACTGCGGAAGAGAAGGCGAATCTCTTTGCCTCACTCTTTGCAGAAAATTCGCGTCTAGATGCCGCAGGGACCCTACCACCTACTTTACCTCAGGCTGGCTGCACTATGGCGCCAGTTCGCATACGCCAAAAAGAGGTACTTAGAACTCTGCGAAATCTAGACGTGAATAAAGCTAGCGGGCCAGATGGAATTCCAGCAATAGTCCTGCGTAACTGTGCACCTGAGTTGTCTCCTGTTCTCACACGCCTGTACCGCCTCTCACTTGAGACTGGTGTAGTTCCCAGGTCGTGGAAGCTTGCAAACGTGCAACCTGTACCAAAAAAGGGAAGCAGAGCTGACCCTGTCAACTATAGACCTATCTCAGTCACTTCCATACTCTGCAAGACTATGGAACGTGTACTCAACAACCGTCTCCTATCGTACCTTGAAGACAACGATCTCCTCAGTGATCGCCAGTACGGATTCCGACGAGGGCGATCTACTGGGGATCTTCTTGTGTATGCCTGTCACATATGGAGCGAGGCTATAGAAAAGCAAGGCGAAGCACTTGCAGTGTCTTTGGACATTTCTAAAGCCTTTGACAGGGTCTGGCACGCAAGCCTTTTAAGCAAGCTTCCCTCTTATGGGCTTCCCACTGACCTTTGCAATTGGATCTCGGATTTCTTGAGCGAACGTTCGATTCGAGTGGTCTTAGAAGGCTACTCTTCCGAACATATGGCGATAGATGCCGGAGTTCCTCAGGGTTCCGTACTGTCTGCAACTCTCTTTCTGCTGCATATCAATGATATGTTAATTCCAGGTACCTTTGCGTATGCTGATGACAGCACAGTTGTAGATAGGTACTTGACCAATGCAAGGGTCAGTGGAGAGGAAATCCAGTCTTGTCGAGAGTCCATGGTTAGCCGTTTAGATTTGACACTCCAGGCAGTCTCCGATTGGGGCAATGCCAATCTTGTCAAATTTAACGCTACCAAAACGCAGGCGTGTCTATTCTCCACAAAACGGAGTCCCTTTGAGCTGACTCCGACTTTTCGTGATATATCCATACCGATAGCCGATTGTCTCCAGCTACTTGGAATGGACCTGTCGTCCAATTTGAACTTCGGCAGATACATTGAATCCACGGCCAAAAATGCAGCAAGGAAGCTTGGGATCCTTTCCAGGGTGAGGCGGTACTTTACACCGGGACAGTTGCTCCAGCTGTACCAAGCACAAGTCCGATCGTGCATGGAGTACTGCTGCCACCTTTGGGATGGCTCTGCGACATATCAACTGGCCACTTTGGATTCAATTGACAACCGTGCCAAGAGGCTTATAGGTGACTCGGAATTAGTGGAGGCGAAGCTGCAGAGCCTTGAACACCGCCGTAAAGTTGCCTGCTTATCGGTATTTTACAGGATATATCACGGAGAGTGTGCGATGGAATTACATGATTTAATTCCGCCTTCCCCTTTCCATCACCGGGGGACTAGGCGTAGGCTTGGGTTCCACCCCTATGTTGTGGATATTCCAAAGATTCGCACGAAGCGTTACGCTTCCACATTTATATGGCGAACGGCTATGGAGTGGAATTCCCTGCCTGCAGACTTGTTCCCTGAACGTTATAACTTGGACCTTTTCAAGGCGAGAGTGAATAGGCATTATTTAGGTGTGCATGCTCCATCGTCGACCTCATCGTCACTTTCCATCAGGTGAGATGGAGGTCAAATGCGCACCTAAATTTTATAAAAAAACTCTCGCCTTGAAAAAAGGTTGTTATTTAAATTTCAAAAAGAAGTTATTTTTAAAAATAGCATGGTATAGATTTGTTATTTTATAATACTAAGTAACTCGACGAAGCGTCTGGTGGTAAGCGACACGTCGGTCCATAACAGTTGCAGTGCCACTCAATGCTTTAAGTCGCAAAAATCTTATGAGCTCTCTCTGCCACTGGGCTCATGGTGATGGGGACTTTTTGTTTTTTTTTTAAATATTTTAAATGTTATCTATCCTACTCACTACATTTTTCACATCACAATGCTCTCTTACTATGTTATTACGCATTTTTATTACAAATACACACATCAAAAGTGTCTAGGGATCAAGTGAGTATTTTTGAAATAAAAATTATTTAAGCAATATTTACCAAATCCAGTCTTCCAGGACGACTTCTTACTTTAATGCTTATGTTTTATTTAACCGCTTACCCCTATATTTAATTAAAATATACTAAAATTGATGTTTTTGCAAATTGTGGGAAAAAACTCAAATTAACGGCGTCAATTAAATGACAAAAAAATGGCGAAAATGATGATTTTGCTCATTTTTATTGTAAAGATAAGAAAATTAATAATCTGTATTTCCACCATTAACACGAATCACACAATTACAGCGATTTGGCATGCTTAAGATGAGTTCATCAAAATCACTTTGAGAAATGGCCGCCCATGTGTTTTGTAACAAGTCAAAATATTGTTGTAGAGTATGTACGGTATGCATACTCGGCACAGCACTTCTTTGAAGCATATCCCATGCGTGCTCAATTGGATTGAGGTCTGGCGATTGAGCAGGCCACGGCAGAACGTTGATACGAGCTTCGGCAAGAATGCGTGTTACGACTCTAGCCGTGTGTGGACGTGCGTTGTCATGCATTAGTTGAAATGAATCACCCAACTGGCCTCGCAAAGGGATGATAACATCTGAAACAATCCTCTCTGCGTAAATTTGAGCATTGAGGTTACCCTTGATCCAAATGAGATCGGTTCTTCCGCCGATCCAAATACCGGGCCATATCATTATTGTTCCCCCACCATATGGATGAACTTCCTGACAATATTTCAAACGTTCATGACGTCCAGATGTTCTCCAAACTCGAGTACGTCTTGTATCCGGTCTCATACCGAAGCGGGATTCATCCGAAAAGCACACATAGCGCCAGTCTTCTTCCTCCCAGTTTCTGTGTTCGCGAGCCCATCGTAAACGGGTCCTGCGATTGCAGGGTGCAATAGGTGGAACTCTGAGCGGCCTTCGGGATCGCAGACCCACTTCACGTAAACGATTTCGGATTGTTTGATCGCTTATTAGCAAGCCTGAGGAGCTGTGGAGCCTCGTAACCAACATCATGGCGGTCATGGTACGATTCCGTCGAGTAGTATTTTGGATATACCGGTCCTGTCTGCGAGTCGTGATGCGAGATCGTCCTCCATGTCGCTCGGCCACGCTGCCCGTCATGCGATAGCGCGTCCAGAGGCGACTTATGACGCTCTGTGTAGTGTTAAGAGTGAAAGCCACAGCACGTTGCCTGGAACCAGCTTCCAACATTCCGACGGCTCGCATCATCACTTCTCGGATTAAATGATGTCGTCTCTCCATAATAATGTAAATTGTTTCGGTTCCGATGCAGATATTGTAATGATTTTGTCAAAACGCTATAACTAATTTTTATACAAAACCACATTGACAATTGATTTTCTTCTTATTATCGAATTTTAAACAATATTCCTTATTTAAATGTTAAAACTAACTAAAAAGTATCAATAGCGATACAAAAAAGTTAATATAATTAACCCTAATTGCAGCAATACTCTTAAACGTACTTGATCCCTAGACACTTTTGATGTGTGTATATAACAGCAATGAAAGCTGTAAGTAAAGAAAAATTAAACACATCATTTATTGTATACATTTTTTGTCTACAGATGACTTTTTACGCGTGTCTCTGTAGTTTTCCTCTAGGGGCCTCTGTGTGTAGCCACTTGTTGGTGTTATCGGATGACTCAATTGTTTCTTTTGTAGTCTTCTTCACTAGCTTTGATTTGGCGAAACGGAATAGGTGAAGCTTTTGCCCAGTAATTGGACTAGTATCCTAGTTTTTACTGTCGTAAAAACAGTCATTATGTTTTAACCTTGTACAATTTCAAACTTAGTATGCCTTAAGTTCTGTATTTTGTTTTATGAGATTAAGTGACGAGACGAAGAAGTCTTACACCCGATAATAAACGACACGCCTACAATATAACAGTTGCATTGCTACTAAGAACTTTTTCATCACACTTGTGTAATAAACTATAATTGCATGGTGGCTAACTTGACTATAATTCCCCAAATAAAACCCACGGGACTCTTTCTTTTCATTACAGCCATGATCGGTTAGGAGTTTTTTTTAATTTTTTGCACGACTTACTTTACATAGGTCAGGTTCAAGTTCAACCAAGGAAGTTACTTAAGTTCAAAATTAAAACATTCGCTTAAAATGTTATCTAAACAGAAATTTAATTGCAATTCAGCCACATGCCATTTAAATACTTATTATTAAGAATTTTTTCTAATCGATTTTAATTATTTCCTGTACGAAAATGAAAAAAATTTTTTCACAATGCATCATGACTGCGTGCGTGTTTTTGATTTTTACATTTTAGTTCGAATGTGAAGTAGAATTATATAAAAAAACCCGCAATTTGCGAAATCCATAATTGTAGTGTTTTGAACCATATTATTTATATTGTATTTATTTATTTCCTCGCAAACGTGATAAAAACACTGTATATATGATGGACGGTAAAAAAATACAAAACTCGAGTTATTAAAAATCCTCAGCGTTTGGCTTCGAGCTTCTAAAAGACCCTCGTTACTAATTTCTTATTTACCGTCCATTATGAGGGACAATGAGCCCGTTACCCATAGACTTAAAGTTGATTAGAAAAGTTACTGTTTATGATATGGTCTTGGAAGGTTGTAGTATTTTAATAACCCTGTACGTACGTACATACGTATTATATATCTGATTTTGTTTTTTTTTACTTGTGCAGGTGTGCGAAGTATACAAATTACACAGAGAAACGTTCCACTTGACCGTCGATTACGTGGACCGCTATCTGTCTAACACAGTCGACATCCAGAAAGGAAGATTGCAGCTAATAGGTATAAATAATCTTAATTACAGGATCTCATTACAAATTTTAGCGGATACTGGATATCCGGTCGCCACATATTGGGCTAGATACCAAAACATTGAATTTATAAATTTATCATATTATTGTCATTAATGTTTCTGTACGATGAGAGAGCGATACAAGGAAAAACTTAGTTGAGTTTATGTTATACTGTAAAGTTTTTGTTTTTAGTGCTTTTAAAATGTAATAATAAATAAATAAATATAAAATTAAAATTTTAGTACAGCATTTTTTGTGTAAAAAATAAAAATTGCCATATGATCATAATTTACCAAAAGTACTTATGTTTACCCAGAAGTGAGTGAAATCTGACTGTGGATGGTGATGACCTATGTTTGTTTATTTGTTTATTGATATGGTACGGGCGGTAGCACATCCATCTATACAATTTTTTTCGAAGATCCGTTAATGTGTAGCTTGATAATAATAACGCACACACTCATAGCCCGCAAACCCTGTGTCGCGGGTGCCATTAACACACACATAGGTAGACAACCATCGAAATTACACCCAAACTCACGAGAGAAATAAATGTAGGCCATACAAATATTTCTCCCGGCCGTTATTTGATGTTCTGCCGTCTGTACAATCACAGATATACAAGTCACACTTATTCAAAATAACCTAATATACCTTTGATACTGTAAACTAAATACAGTTGTACATAGGTCATGCAGACGTTTAAATATTAACTGGTACCCTTGGTGTAATAAAGCTACATCAGTAAAATGATAATTTTTCAGATGTTTACAGATTCAATGAGTCGACAACCTTAAATAGTTGAATTATAAAATTTCATACATCGTCGGTGTTTTGTAGAAAGGGCGAAAGCGCAATTTCGAAAAATGTTTCAGGGTAGCATGAATTAGTTTTTCACGACTGTTATAAACTATTTACGTCCTGTTTCAAATTCAATTTTAAAACTTAAGTTTAATTAAAATCAAAATTGAATTTCAAAACAGTATGATAAATACTTTAAAACAGTCGTTAAAACATGCTCTCCTGAAAATTGTTGGAAATGGCGCTTTCGTCATTTCTACAAAACATCGACGAATATGCATAATTTGTTTCACGTACTTCTTTCTATTTTATAACTTTTTGTGATTTATGCACTTTTGACGTATGATCCAGTCATGTGTCTATATTTATTATAAAAAAAATAGGAACACTCTTAAAAAAATGCATTCGTTTGGGTTCACAATGTTTTGTTTTCTTGATTAATTATCTAAAATCCGGCCAGATAATAGCTAGAATCCGGACGATGTAGATATACCGGATATTAATGTCAACTCCAATCTGAAACACGTTTTGTGATCGACGACGAGAGGCACGATAGATTGATTATCCTCTATTCTGAGTTGTATTTGATATTGACCTATGCCTGGTTGGCTTCCTTTATGTAGCTACATGACCAAACAATGAAGGGCAGGAAGATCTCTTCGCCTTTGGACAGAGAATGAAAGAACGGAATTGCACAGATTCAGCCACCAAAGAGTATTTTCTAATAGAAATATTTTTAACTTGACGACCTCAGTAGCCCAACGATTTGCACTGTGGGCGCTGGATGTGGTGGTCCCGGGTTCGATTCCCGGTACGACCAATTTGGGAAATGAACTCTAAATTGGTGAGGTTGTCGGCTCTTTATTAATTAATATACTACAATGCAAATATTATACAGAGGTGATTTGGTACGTTAATTTCGTCTACTAGGTTCTTATTTAAGAGCTAGTCTTGTCAACCATCTTTGTTAAGCGCCCTAACTTTAAGTTGTTGTTACGACACAACATTAACATTTCATCTTCGACCCTTCATACGTCTCCCTGCTGGTCACGGGTCTCCTCTCAGGCGAGGGTTTAGGCCATGGCGCAATGCGGGTTGAGGTCTTGATTGTGAACCTTCTTCTACGTGCAGATTTAATCACGATGTTTTCATTAATCCGAAGGCTCATGGTAAATTTCAAATTAAATTTCGCCCATAAATTACGAGAAACTCGGAGATTGAACCCGGATTCGAAACCACGGCTACCACGACTTTTCACCTTATTTGATCTAAGGAACTTCGTGTAAATATTTCCTTCGATCTTCCTTTTTTAACCGACTTGAAAAAAGGAGGAGGTTGTCAATTCGAATATTATTTTATGTATGTTACGCGATAACTCTAACTTTGTGAACAGACTTTCATGATTCTTTATTCGTTGGCAAGAGGGTTTCTCAGCGGCCCCATTTATAATAAATTAATATTTTACCTCTAAGGATGGCAAACTAGGGGATGAATCCGATTTCGCGCACTTTCCCATAACCGACTTCAATAAAACTTGGCAAATAGATGCTATTCCACGAACTTCGAGGTCGGTTTTTTTAGTACTCTGTACTGAGATTCTTATAAGAAAACTGTCGTGTTGTATCAGATGCCCAAACCTCTCTTCCCCTCGGGTTCTCTAATGTCTGAAAATTTACTATGTGTTCCTCACTCAAATGGAAAATAAAATATCAATTATTCTTCTGAGTCTTTTCTTCGCAAATGAGAGAAGTATCCCACAGTAAAACATGTTTTTATTGATGAGTAGATTGACCTCATTGACGGAATAAATCGACCAAATCACCACTCTGTATGTATCCACATAGAAACCAAATTGACAAATAACAATATTACACAACATCGTGATCACAATAATATTGAAGGATATTAGTAACTTAATCACGCCGATACGATTAAACTGATTTGAATGACATTCGGCAAATAAAGTTTCTAACCTAGATTTTTTTATAATACCAAGTGCCGGGACGAACAAATCGTGTGCCTGGTGGTAAGCGACACGCCTATCCATGACAGTTGCAGTGCTAGTCAGAGAATAAATAGATTAAGACAGCGTATTTTTAAAGTGTGTTTTTGTGAGTTAGGGTGTAATTTGTGGTTGTCTATGTGTGTGGTGCTGAGTTTGTGCGTTAAAAAAGGGCGTTGTTTTGCTAACTAGCTCAATATCTGCCGGCTGGATATGCGGTAAAATATGTCGCCTACAAATAAGAATAGGTTAAAATTATACATTTAAGCGTTAACAGTACTGCTCCAGGTAGGGCGCGTTCATTATGTCGTGACGACAGATAGTCGTACAGTTTAAAGTGCGTGGCTTGTATATTTAAATGAAGTTGTTCACACATAGAACAACACGATTAACTGTCATTCACGACTTTTTTGACGTTACGACGATTAACTGTCGTGACAATGGGAAAAGCTAGAACGACAGTGTCCGATAAATAAAACGTTACGACATACTGGGAACACGCCCTCACGATGTCGTCGTGTCGAGCTAGACAGGACAGTCATTCAACGATACAATAAACATCCACGACACAGTCACGACAGATAGTCGAGATATGGGAATAGACTAGAAGCGACAGTCGTCAACGATAAATAAAACGTTCCAACATAATGGGAATGCGCTCTAACATTATTTTATTTTTTAATATCTAATACTTGTTTGTGGACAGCTCATAACATTTCATTAGCGCGCTCTCGTGCGTAATTTGAATATAACTGAATTGGCTTTGTCCTGTTTTATATCATATACACGTAACCCTGCAATAATAAGTTATTGTTGTCACTAGTAAAATAAATAAATAAACAAATGACATTAACACAACCATTATTGAAGAAAATAAAATATACCACTTTTATCTCGTTTTTCTAGGTATAACATGTCTCTTCGTGGCAGCGAAAGTAGAAGAAGTGTATCCCCCCAAAATAGGTGAATTCGCGTACGTCACAGACGGCGCGTGTACCACAGAAGAAATCTTACTAGAAGAGCTACTGATACTTAAAATAATGTCATGGAGTATCACGCCCATTACGACAAACAGCTGGTTGAATATGTACATGCAATTGGCGAGTGAAGGAAGAAGTGCGAAACGGAGGTTACTAGGTATGTATTCATTACAGTAATACCCCGCTTTACGCGGATGCATTGATTTAGCCAATTTCAACCCGTAGCTTCTAAGTTACAAAAGTGCATTGTCAGAGGTAGTTCTTTCTTGGTAGGTTCTTTAATTTGTAATCACATTGGTACTGTCTGTTATCCAGTAAATTGCAAAAGACAAGTTTTACGCCACCGGCTAAGAAAGAAGAGCGTAATTGCTTAAGTTTAGAGACGAAGATAAAAGTTTTAGAAAAGATGGGTTGGTTCGAATTGCAAGTTCGTTACAGTATTTATCTTTTTATTCGATCACACCCTTCTACCCTTGGTAGCAGTCGTTAGGTCAAGTTCAAGGTCAAGTCAAGGAGACCCTAGGGTGACCAAAAAACTATAGCACCAGGCGAGCCACACAAAAGAACAGCCCCGTTTTACGCGAATTTTGCTTAACACAATTTTGTCTGGAACGCATCTCTCGCGTAAAGCGGGGTATTACTGTACTTAGTAGCTATTATTTTAAGCAAACAACATACGCGTTGTTATTTATGAATATTTCTTTTACGTGGATTGTGTAGAACAGCCACACTCAACCACACTCAACCGAAAAACACTTCGTCAGCTAAATAGGCACAAAAACAGAATTACTAGAAATAATTATATAACAATCTATGATCATACTTTTATTTTATAAGTAAAAGGTGTACAAACGGTATTTTAAGCTTAATTGCCTAAAACGTTCTCCCCTGAAATATCACTCTACGCTATACGCTCTTTCTATAAAACACCGACAATAATGGCCTATGAAAAGTTGATTATAGCTGTAGCTGGTCTAGAAGGTACTTTTAACTGACTTGAAAAACGGAGGAGTTCTCAATTGGACTGTATTTTTTTTTGTGTATGTTACGCCATTGCTCCGATATTTGTGAACCGATTTTGATGATTTTTTTTTTTTGTTGGACAGAGGGTACCTCAATATTGGTCCCATTTTAATTTGAAGAAAATATTCCACCTCTAAGGGTGGTAAACTAGGGGCTGAATCCGGTTCCGTTTGTATGTAAGCAAAGTTTGAAGTCGGTTCCTTTTTTTTAATAAAAATTATGCTCTTTATTTAAATGCGAAATCGACACACGTGGCCACGACCTACTGCGACATTGTGAACGACCATGTGACAGATGATGGTACGCATTTGTATAAAAAATGCATTTTCACTCTAGCTTTGAATAACCCCAAACTTATTATTAAAGAAAGCATTCACCGTATGTTCATAAAGAAGGACATCAAAGTCATTTTCAGTTATTAAAAATACTAATAAATACTGGCTGTGAGCTAACCTAAACATTAGAATTTTAGAAATATTTCAATATGAATAGTTTTAAAAATATTGAAAACACGTATTTTAAATTGTCGCTACAAAAAAAAGTGGAAATAGATTTTATATTTAGCTTGCTATGTGTTAAGTTAATAAATAAAAATAGCCTTTATTCACTGATTACTTCTAAATTAATAAGATAATAACCTAATGCTTACTTCTAACTGTATAAATTCTTAATTCTAAGTTCTGGTTCTAATCAGGTTGTCCTCTGACATAAGCCTCCTCCATATTTCTCCATAAGCAACGGTCTCGTCATGTATTAAGTTAAACGTTATCAATATTACATCAATGGCTTCCTAGAATATTGGCCTATCTCAAAAACACCTTATTTATCGAGCACGAAATGAAGTGTATCTGGCGCGTAAAATGAACTAATCATCTATCGGTCAAATGTTGTCACGTGACTATTTTAACCAAGTAAAAGCTCGGTGTCTTATTCACTATAAAATTCAACACATTCTGAATATTATTGAATATTATTGAACTGCCTCCGTGGCCGAACGGTTACCATGCCGGACTGCCACGCAGAGGTCCCAGGTTCGATTCCCGGGCCGGGAGAAATGTTTGTATGGCCTACATTTATTTCTCTCGTGAGTTTGGGTGTAATTTGTGGTTGTCTATGTGTGTGTCCATGGCACCCGCGACACAGGGTTTCCCTAGTGCGGGGCTATGTTGAGTGTGTGCGTTATTTATTATTTATTATATTTATTTATTAAAGTTAAGTAAAAAAAAATTACTTTTGGGCTATTTTTGATAACCGGTGATTAGTACCAAACTAATAAATATTCGAATTTTGGAAAGTGACGACAGTTGAGCGATACTGAAAAAATTGATTTTAAAAAATAATGGCTCCAGCCAAATTATTTTTTTTTGTTGATGCTAAGTTTAATTATATGTTATTTTCAAATTAATCTTTTTATCAATTCAATTTATGTATTGACCTTGTTACAACATAATGTCATAATTGGCAAGTTAAAATATATCGAGTTTTTAGGTTCTGTAAACGTTGGTTTGTTTGAAAAAACAAATATACGCGATTTAATTCCGGGAAAATAGTTTCATTTCCTAAGTTAAAATATTATAAAATTAAAGTAACTGAACGAACCTTACTGTCACAATTTCATGAAATAAAAATTATTTATTAAAACGTACAGCAATGAAAAATTTTTGTCAAAAACTGCAATCATGCAGTACATAAGTACATACATGCATAAAATTCATCACAACACCAACAAGCAAGCAAGAAAAAAAAGAAAAATAGTTTATGTGGTAACCTTGGTAATATGACAACAATATAATAAAAAATTGTCTTCCTTTCTGAGACAGTTCTAGCAACTCCTCCATTTTGAATTTTTTTTTTCTTTAAAAAAAAAGTCGCTTTATTTTATTATTGAACTCGGATGATTTTTCCAATTCGTCACATTATTAAGTGTGTATTATGGTATTCTGTTCTAGGTGAAAGCGACGTTGGAGCAAATGCACTAAGAGGGTACACATTTGTGTTTCCCCAATATTCCTCCTTAGAGTTTGTACAATGCGGTCAGTTGATCGACTTGGCTGTGCTGCATGTGGACGTGAATCAGTACTCGTACAGTTCTGTAGCAGCGGCCGCTATGGCGCATGCATTTAATAAGGATTTAGCACTTAGGGTATCAGGTAAGTTACATTCAGTTTGTTATAAACTCGATAGCAATAGAATCTGAACGCTAAAATTGAATTTTTTTTTTCTGAATCTGAATCGCATTTTTTCTTCAGACAAAGCAACATTTCGGGTCCTTACAGACCCCATGATCATGATTTATTGTAAAAGGTCCGAAACGGTAGTTGTTTGCAAAAAAAAACAATATACACCATTTAGGATCGTATTCTAGAACTCTACCCAATGCTCAAGTCAGGATTTGAACAGACTTAGTATGATTGAAATACGACCCTAATGGCAAGGACTTGAGTATGATTTTCAGTTCTCACTGCAATACTCAAATCCGGACTTGAGTATTGAGTAGAGTTCTGGAATACGACCCTTTGATTCGAATAATAATTTCCTATGTATGGTAATCCTGAAAGCCTAAAAACTGGAAGCTAAAAGTTTTATTTATTTACAACTTATATCAATTCAAATTTCTAGTACTCAAGTTAACCTTAAATTATCTTATTCTGTAGGCTGTCTTTTCGCCTAGTTACACAGTTTGGTCTATTCACGGTAACATTTTAATTGCATAAGGATTAAACATTGAAAACAATAATTAACCACATTTGTGCAGGGTTCAGCTGGGAATCACTAGAGCCGTGCTACCGATGGCTCGCTCCGTTCGTGCAAGTGGTCCGCGAGGAAGGCGCCGTGTGCGTAGTGCGCGGCGGCGACGGTGAGTTCGTCCAGCGGGCGGCGGGCCTGGACCTCATCTGCCCCGATCTCAACGCTGACGAGAGCCATCGCATACAGTCCCACAATGTTACCCTTGACATGTTTGTACGTATCGTCCTTTATTAATCGTACCTTCAATAATAGTGACTAAGTGTGAGTAAACTGTTCAGACTTCATTACACACACATAAACAGTTAGTCAGACAGACACAGACAAAAGCTTCAGATGTAGAACTCCCTCTTCTTGTGTCAAGGATTAAAAATATTATTTTCTTGACATAAATCACGTTCTCATGAATATAATTCTGAAAACTCATAGTAGTCGATCACCAAGTTTCTCTTAATAAACATTATTATTATTATTAACGGTCATTATTTCCCATGGCATAATGGAGATAAGATAATATGTTGAAACCTCGGTTGACGTTGGGCTACCAACGGTGTGCACGTGTGCACTGTGGGTGCTTGATGCAGAAGTGCAAGGTTCGATTCCCGGTAGGACCAATTTGGGGAACAAACTTCTAAATTGGTTCAGTGTCCCGATTCCTTAGTCTGAGACTAGGCAATTGGTTCAGTTGTCTGGCACATTATTACTATCCAAGATTTGCTCAAAAACTAGTAGGATTTAATTATTTTATCTAAGCCAAGAGACTGTCAGAACCAGAGAACAAAAAAGAATCGAGAATGGACACTCTCCGCCCTTCCCTAGCTTTAGATACCGCTCCACGCCCCGCACATTGACGGTCACATTGACTGAACGACAACAAGGCTGTCGGCGAGCCGTTTTTGCGCTAAGATGGCTTTGGTATTTGAATATAGTTTTCATTTATTAATTACGAAACCTGTACGTTATTAAATAACAACATTATACGTTACTATTTATAATGGTCGTGGATTGTGCTGCGTACGGCTGTTTAACATCGTTTAAACAGGATAAAGGGAGGGGTTTCTTTCATTTTCCGAAAGATGAAACGAAGATGAAAAAAACTTATGTGTGAGACTCATTTAGTTATTGCTTTCTTCATTTATTTAGTACATAATGATGAATATACCTAATAATTAACTAGGCAATGATAAACTTGGGACACGCGATTTCAAATACCATGGTTACCTTATTTAAAAGTACCTGTCCAAAATATAACATTTTAAGTGTTTTTAATATATTTTTTAAATATATCTTCAATATTATTTTAGTTAGTGAATTAATGAAGAATATAATGAACATGTGTAATCATTAGGATTCTATTAATAGAATTAAAGATAACAGATTCGCGTTAGAATTTTCGTTATGTTGCCGCTCTGACCACGTTATGGTTAACCCAGCCACATCACGCACACATTTGCGCGTGTGCAGATAGAGCCTTGATGAATGTAGTAGTAGTAGGTAAATAAGTTTCGACTGTTGTACGGAGTGTCCGGGCTGTGGTCAGACTAAAAAAATCTTGACTGTTTAAACTCATATCCTCCCTTAGCTTAACTGCCTCCGTGGTCGAACGGTGACCATGCTGGACTGCCACGCAGAGGTTTTGGGTTCGATTCCGAGCCTGGGAGATGTGTATAGCTTACATTTATCTCTCGTGAGTTTGGGTGTAATTTGTGGTTGTCTATGTGTGTGTCCATGGCACCTGCGACACAGGGTTGCCCTAGTGCGGGGCTATGAGTGTGTTGCGTAAAAAACATAGCTTTGTGACAAAAACCAAGTAACCGAGAAAATAAAGTTTCTACTTTTCTCTTGCGGTAACTTAATACGTTATCCACCTAGGAAATAATAATCACGGCAGTATACATAACAATTTTTGTTCAGTATACATAAAAATTTCACATGCACCCATAGATTTAGTATATGCACCCAACTATTTTCAACTTACCAGCGCAGCAGCAGAATGGTCGTAATTCTTCTTCCGTAGTATTATAGTCTTATTTAGAAGACAAAGTAGGTAATAATTATCTACGTCGTCACGAAAATAAACAAGATCTTTGTTTCTCCCCAACAGGATAAAGTATACCAACACCTCATAGAACAAACGAATCCAGAAGAAGAACCATCGGCGTCAACATCACAAGACGTCGAGCATATCTACCCTCCGACGCCCCCTCAGTCAGACCAAAAAAGTCCCAAAACACCAACAACAAAAACACCCTCAACACGACATCAAACGGTACCTGAAGAATTACATACGGAGATTGAATGATCGACGGTGTTAACCTCCCACATGTTGAGGTGTGTATTTTTTGTTATCGTTGTATGGACAGCAATCGACTTAATGTAAATATTAATAGGAGAGCGCAGAAGTGTTTATCCAGTATCTTGATCAATTTGTATGAACGTGATGTTAATGGAACTCTTCCTTTATAATTCGCTCCATACGGATGCGTCAATAAGCGTTAAGCTGATGTAGGCGAATCGCATATGTGTTGCCATTTCGACCATTCGGACCAACTGCAATTGAATGCTGATAAACTTGAATACAATTGAATGTTATTACATGTCAACCAACATGATCATAGTTTTGCGAAAATGGCGCCTAAAGTTTTTTTTTATTTTTTATAGTTCTAAAATTTATATAAAATGAAATCGTTTGCTCTTTAATTAATTATTGTGATTTATTACTATAATTCCCCAACAACAACAACCACAAAAGCAAAAGTTTTCAGTTTATAAGTAAATTTTAGAACAAACTATCAAAAACATCGAAAAATCTTTAGATGCAATTTTCGCAAAACTATGATCTTGTTGGTGCATACGTTATCGCATATCAGGATCCAATTTTGACGAAAATAGTTTAATGACCTTGATGATCCAACGGTAACTCTGTACGAGCGTAACAGCGCTGTTCGTATGAGTGCGTGCCCGCCGCGTGCCGTGTACGGACGCACACATTCGCATAATCTCGCAATGCGCTCGCGTTGCATAACGCTGGTCGTCTCGGGCGCCTTTCATTATTATACGAATGTGTGCGGCCGTTCAATCACGGAGGCAGTCAGTTTGTAGACGAAATTGAGTTTGAATAATCGTCGGTGATTGGAATTGAGAAAGTCAATTTAGCTAAACTAAAGAATAATGTGGACATTCCCTTCTACAAATCGTGGGGATTCTAGGAACTGATTATATTTCAACATGCTTATTATTTATTGAAATTTGAATACATTGGCGACAAATTACTAATATCCTATTCACTTTTTGCTACAAATTATTGTCTCAAAAAATAATATTGTAGTTAACTTTATATAGATATTTACGTATTTAAATGCTTCAGTTCAGCCATTTAAAAAGTAAACATGAGATAACCTATATTCTGGAAAATGTTTAGAATATAAACAGTCAAAAAAGGAATTTGATATGCAATGATGACGAAAAATCCACTAAGAAAACATTCATACTTTAGGTAAATCCCTCAATTCCGATTACTGATCATAATAAATACAATCTATTATATGATGTCATTTTTTTGAACACCGAGCGAACGCTTCGATTGTAACCAAAGTGAACGGCGAGTGTGACAACCATCTCCACCATCAACTTTGCAACGCAAGTGCCCTGTGAGATTATGCTAATGTGTGCGCCCGTACACGACGCGAGGCGGGCGCGCATACATGCAACCCGCGCTAAACTACGTTCGTATAGAGTTATCATACTTGTCTTATTACACTATGATATTATGGTCGTTGGTCAAACAATTTAGGAAATTAACCTTCCTGAACTCGCTCTGCGTAGAGCCCCGGAATGGTATTACTCTGATCCAGGAAATTCCTTAGACTGAGACCAGACAATTGGTGTGATTGTCTAATACACATTATTACTATATAAATAACTTTTTCGGTCAAAATTGTGGCGTTCAATCGTGCTTACATGTGACGATTTGCGGAAATCACGCAGGCAGAAATTACTTTGTATTGCGATAAAATACTCTCGCAAGTCATTAGGATATGTGAACACAGTACTCAAAGCACTCTGGCAGATGCACAAATAATGGAGGAGTGATTTTTCCTAAAGTCTGTCTTTTTTGAAGACCGAATAAAATGACATTCGCATGGTTGCCAATCTTCATAATAGTCATGTCGCGTAGTTTTGGACAGTTTTATCGATAGATTGTGAAAGAAGGTAAAATTTTGCCAAAAATTTCTGATTTGTGAATGCTACGACGTTATTGCCTTCATTATTTTTTTAACAGTTGGCCTACTAGTATCGAAATCAATTTTTTCATATACATTTTAACAAGAACAACCAGATTTGATTAATATATTGAATTAAAATGAAAAACTTTAAAATGTTTCCTCTTTGTATTTTTAATAGATATAATTCTAAACGTAGTGTATTTACATACCTATTTACATAGGCAAAGTTAATATTATGACCTTATAAAAATTGACAATTCAACTGAACCTGTGCCCAGCTGTTGGACGAATAATGAACCGATGATGATTCAAACGATTGCATAAGCGTGACCAACAATCTGTCGATAGGATATTTATCGACTGCAATCACTAGTAAATGTCACTTTATTGCATCTTCAAAAAAGACGGACTATAGAGTCTTATTTCCAGCTTTTGACACGACACAAGTAGGCAAGGCAAAATAACCCCTAGAGACAACAGCAGATTATAATGCTTTATTTTCTGTAGTGAAAGGATATCAATTTTTGTTTAATAAAATTATAAATGCGCATTTTGACCTTCATCTCATGGAAAGTGACAATGAGGTCGACGATGGAGCATGTATATATTCACCTCGCGTTGAAAAGGCCCTAGTTATAACGTTCAGGGAATAAGTCTGCAGGCAGGGAATCGCCATATAAATATGGAAGCGTAACGCTTAAATGCACAAGACATTTGCTCGTGTGCATTTTACTATTTCTCTATCAAAACATAGGGTTTACGTAAGTTTAATAGTAATAGAGCTTCTTGTAAAAGAGTCCATCCAGGTAGTACTGCCACCTTGCCTATTTCTGCCGCCAAGCAGTAATGTCAGCATCGCCCGCAGTGGCAGTGGCCCTCAGAGCTTTACTATTTAAAGCTCTAAGTGGCACTACAACTTTTATGGATAGACGTGTGGCTTACCATCAGGCGCACGACTTGTTCCTCCAGTTACTAAATATCATTAAGAAAAAATACTCCTCGATTAAATGTATGCGTTGACGTCCTCGATGCCGCCACAAACCGATTGCTATGATATTTCTTTCAAAATGAAGTACATTAACGAAGTACACTTTGTTTTAAGATTTATTTTAAGTGACTTTGAATACTTACATGAATAACTTGTGGTGTATCTTTATTATGATGTAACTATCTGTAGATAGGCTGAGCGTTGTCCAAGACTGTAGCACATTTTGTTACGAAATTGTGCCCAACGAAATTGTGTAAGGTATAAACTCTCTAGCTAAATTCGATGTAAAATTTTTAATAACAAAACGTTGCTAGGCAAGTAATGATGGCAGGTGAAAAGAACATTTTTTTTCAATGCTCATTATTTACACTAGCTCTACCCACGGCGTGCTTGCGTAATTGGAATTTAAATAGGTAAGTAGGTGATTCGGTTATGTAGAAGTAGAACTTACCTAGCCGATTATTATAAAGTTTACAAAATACCTGTTGACACGAATGATTTATGAATCAAGTAAATAAGTTTTTGAATTCTATTAAGGCGAGGCACTGGCGGGGAAGCGGGAAAAACTGTTTATCTAGATCAAATAGTCTAGGTATTTACTATTAAATAATGGGTTTAACAAAAATATACGATACATATAAGGATATTGTCTAAAGAATGTGCTAATTCGGTACATTATGGAATGTACTGAAAGGGTTGTAACCCTCACAACCGTGCTCAGGATCACGGCAGTAAAACAGGAAACTTTTTACTTTTACTTTTGCCGTTGAATTTTAGGTAGACTATTATTCGCTTCTTATGGTCGATACATGATTTAAATTGAAAGGAAAAAAATTAGACAATTTGATTTAGTAGTATCCGCTATCGCGGTCAAGCAGAGAGTGACCGTCGAAAGAAATAAAATCAGAATGCGAAGGAAAATGGAAGAAATCAAAATTTTAAATTTCAATATGAGTAGAAGAAGAAAAACGATACGATACGAATGGAGAGAGGCGATACAAAAGGTGGGATGACGGTGTAAGGAGGTCACACCGTCACTTTACTTGATCATATAAAATCCCGAAAACAGGTTAAAATAAAAGTTAGTTATTAAATTCACATTTATCTCAAATTTGAAAATTGCCCAGTGGTTTAATGACACGCCAGACCTCCTGCTGCCCCATCAGTGGCCATCGGGCGCTTGTCGACGACGGATCTGTGTCAAAATTTCTCCGCCTGCTATTTTATTCATGTGAATTGTCAGCGTGCGAGTTGCGGGACGCAAGGGCGGTCCCTCACACCTCACCTCCTAAAACACAGGCTCGCGTAGAAATATCTCTCCTTAATATTTGCTAGATAGTAGGTAATGGTGAAAGGTAAAGCCGGATACTCATTAGCGAGCTGTAACTGTAACGTGCAGATACAGTAACGAGGTTCTAGTGTGTACGCTTGTAACAGTCTTCAATTAGACGGCTCACTGCGAACCGCTCGCGGCAAGCTGATTTTTGGTTACATAACATGCAAGGGTTACATTTACAGCTCGCTAGTGAGTACCCGGCTTATTTGATGAAAAGAACAAAATTGTAAGATTTTATATCAATTTACTACATATACCATCTCGAATGTTTTTCCGATCTTGAACGTAAATTATTACTCGAATATTTGCAATCTCTTCCTTCAAATCAAAAAATCATTAGGGTTAATTAATTACTGGTAATTTTCATATATTTTTAGGTGATTAGATCCTTCTGTGCGCGTGTTGAAACTGCCTCGGTGGCCGAACGGTTACCCCATGCTGAACTGCTATGCAGAGATCCCGGGTTCGAATCCCGGACCGGGAGAAATATTTGTATGGCGTACATTTATTTCTTTCGTGAGTTTGGGTGTAATTTGTGGTTGTCTCTGTGTGTATCCATGACACCCGCGATACAGGGTTTCCCTAGTGTGTCTTCTATTATCTTCTAGTATCTTTAAAAAAGCTTTTTCAAGTAGATTTAGTAAAAGATCTGTACATTGTACACGATATTTTTTAAATAATAAAAGCAACCTCTGCCCCGTAGCATGGCTACGCATGATAGTCGCGACACGCGCGATAAAATTGGAATAAGCGCGCGCTATTGGCTGTCTCATTCAGATCTAATTTAGATAGCCAATAGGGCGCGTTTATTTCAATTTTATCGCGTGTGTCGCGACTATCATGCATAGCCATGCTACAGGGGCAGCTGTTCTTAAAGTAAAAAATCAGCATCGGAATTCGCTGTAGTGTGAAAAACCTGCATCAGCAACAACCCTGGTATGCAGACACTATGACCCTCCAGCACTGCGCTCTTCACAAACCTCTCATTCCTCTCGCATCAATATCTTCATACAAACGCATTTACTCTTGGCCCT